TCAGAGTTATTAATAATGCATGTGTAGTACAGTAGGTTTGAGACAAGTGTGTTTGGATATGGTTTAGTCACAGTGGTGCCCCGTTTTTTTTTTTTTTGAAGTCTGAACTTTACACACTGTCTATAGTTTATTAACTTATTTGTAATATCTCTTCATTTCACTGTTTTGTTATATTTTACTTTATGTGTTTCAATTTAAAATGAAACACTAACTTTTTTGGAGTTAGCTATATATGAAAGTGCCATGAATTTATTCTGGTCCCAGTCTACAGCCATTCATTGCAACGACATTTCTTTGAATTTGGTGTCTAGAATCTGTGAAACATCTAGGATGCTGATTTGTACTCCATGTCGCCAAAGTACAAGCCAACTTTATGTTCAGCCCCAGAACCAAGAAATAAATCCAAAATAAATGAACTCTTAGGTGTAAATAACTTTATTTCATTCTTCCCGACCACCAGAGATGGTAGAAATCCAGGTATTACAGTCCATATAGGCGTAGTCACATACATAACTCCTGTGTGGATTTTGTTGTGGAATTGAATGCATTTATTTACATTTGTGAGAGGGTGGGGGTGGTTGGGGTAAAGTTGCTTTTTAAATATATTTGTTTCACAAGTTTATTTATTTGCTATTTCAAGGTGACTATGTTATATCTGTCCAGAGAATACAGATGTAAAACAGACTTTTATATAACTCTGAAATGTTTATTTATATGCACGTAAACTACTAAATTGCTGACAACACAGTCTTCCTCTACCCTCCTCTTTCCTGTCCCCTGCAGGCTGTGCCTAGAGGCGAGGGACCCCTACTGTGGCTGGGATTTCAGGCAGCGCAGATGTACCACACTGGAGGACAGCTCTAACATGAGCCAGTGGAAGCAGAACATCACTGTTTGTCCAGTAAGAGTAACGACACCAGTGGTTGACATCATCCATGACTAACGACTTCTCAGTGTGTGTTGTACAAGACGGCAGGATATAGGATTAGTAGATGTAGAACAGAAGTGAGTTGGACTGAACTGAATAAATTAGATTGTACTGAGATCAACTGGATTGAATTTGGCTGAAGTGAAGTGAACTGCAGTAAATGTATTCCCCTATAATCCTATGAAAACTCCCATTATCTGTTTTCGAAGGAAAAGTCCTGTCTGTCCTGCCCTCTAAAAGTACTTCTGCTCTATACTCTAAGCTGCCACTGACAAATGTGTTGGTTGGTTGCTCACCAGGGGCCTTTACTATGAAGCAGGATTTGGAGTAAGCAATGTAACTTCAGGTTTAACCCGGGATTTTTAGAGTCACGACGGTGGTTTGTTTCTTACCGGCCATGGTAACTTGTAGCTACTGCACACTGAACCTGCTGCGGAGCTTATGTTCGAGAAGCACCACCTACTGACCAATCAGTTCTCTTTTAAAATTGGCGTCAGCATTTGTAGGAGATCCCATGGAGCTTGGTTCGTGGATCATGAGAGGGTATCTTAAGAGGCACTTTGGCTTTCCCTGAAGATTTTTTTATAATAGCAGCATGAGTGTACTCATTGTGTAGGAGGGCCTCCCTCCTGTCTTCTTCATTAAATGTTTTCCCCAGTTAGCTGCGAACAATGTCAAAGCCATTTCATTGTGCTTTTGTATATGGATATCCTACAAAAGAGACTGATTAAAGCACAGAAACACTGTACTTGTTGTGCTTATAAGATATGAAAGTAAGCCTACTAAACGCTTTGAATTATGTTTTTATATATACATTTTTTATATAATAAGAACTTGGCCTTAATGATGGGGCAGTGATGAAAGTGAAGCCCATTTACATATGCATTTATATAGTTATAAGGGCAATTTGTGTTGTAGCTACTGTGCAGCTGGCCTGGATTATGTGTTGAATTTCTTCATATTTATTTGTCCAATATTATAGTTTAATCTTCATTTGTAAAATATGATGCTCTGCTGCCAATAGATTTGTCCATGTTTGTGATTGGGCAAATGCTGTAAAGACCACCCCTTTTTATGTGAATGCGCTCATAGCTATATTGGGAAAACCTGAGTTGACTTACTGAGTTGATAACCAGCATCGTGTGACAGCCTCTGTGACCTCTGACCTCACTCACTGAAGTTTTTTTTTCCAGCTGCGGAACCAAACCACTAATGGTGACTTTGGACCCTGGGCGCCATGGCAACCCTGCAACAATGATGATGGTGTGGATGGTGTGAGCTCCTGTTTGTGTCGCTCCAGGTCTTGCGAAAGCCCACCCCCTCGATGTGGAGGCAAAAACTGTGAGGGCCCCACCATTGAAGTCACCAACTGCTCGAGGTAGGGAAAGAATATGATTTTTACATTGATGATGATGATGATAATTATCATTGATGATGATAATAACTATAACAACAATCACCATCACTTACAATAATCAGTACTATAATCTTGATATTTTCCCATGCATTTTTAACAAAATAAAGGTTTAAAATACTGGGAATCACTTGCCCAATCAAACTCCTGTGGTATTAAGAAATAATAATGAAATGACTACAATATAACTATAAATGCATGTACGTCAATGGGAAAAAGATAAATAATTATTTTTGCTAACAAGGAGAAAAGACTCAATGTTATTCCCCTGCAGCACATTATCCTGCTTTTAAATCTTTACACTGGCTTCCAGTTAGTTACAGAATATATTCTCAAGTACTGTTGCTAGTTTATAAATTACTTAGTAGCCTCAGGGGAAAATACCGTTTGATATGCTTGAAGAATATAAACCAATAGGTCCCTTTATATCTTTAGGAAGCAGTCAGCAACTCATGTCAGAACTAAAACACAGTGAAGCTGCTTTTAACAGACGCGCGCAGATTCTCTCTTTTCTACTATTACATTTTGGGCATCTTATTACTGCACTGTAACTGTAGTTTCTATTTTTTGTCTATTTGCATTTTATTTAATTTTATCCTTCTTTATTTTTCTCTCTTCTGTCTTTATGTTGCTCTAATGCATTTCTTTGCCTTACACGGAGCACTTCTCCATGTTTGAAAATGAGTGTGCTTTGCCTAAAACAAAGCTGAAGAGTATATGATAATAAGATCTACAATGTATCACAACTAAAACAATGGTGGAAATTAAGGTTGCAATTTATTCTGGCACAGTACATTGGACAATCCTGTGATAGAGCACATTAAGCTTGTCATTTTGCAAATAAGTCTAGTCCAGGATAAGGAAAACTTTAAGATCTTTTCTTGCTGCTATTGTAGGAGCAATGTCATGATTGACTTTGAAGTATCCACCTCAGGGCACAATTTACACACTGACAGAACATGAGAAAGATCATGAAAGAGAAGAATCTTATTAGAAACTGTAGGGGACATCCAGTGACACCTCTCACAGCCTCTCTCTGCAGAGGATTTGGCCAATCAGCGTTCCAGAGAACAGAACAGAGACAAAGAGCTTAGGCACCTTCATCCCAACGGATAGCTATGCCAGATTTAATCTTTGGTGTCGAAATTGAATTGTGCTTTTGCAGAAAGTGGCAATTAAATCATGAGAAGTGCTACCCAGGAACAAAGCACTTAGGCAAATTGAATGACTGTTTCCCAGTCAGAGTGCACTCCCTATGTTTGTTTGCATTTCTGTTTCCAGAAGCTCAGAATCTGAGTAATGATTAGACAACGCTAAAAAGCAGTTTCTTTTTTTCCCCTTTAGCCTTAGAGAACACCCTGTGAAAGAATAATACTAAAAGCACTCGTGAATAATTATGCAGGTTTTGGAGCCGTTGTGAAATATGTTGCTAATACATGTGTCTGTTGCCATAGAAATGGAGGCTGGACGCCCTGGTCGTCATGGGGACAGTGCAGCACAACCTGTGGTACGGGCTTCGAGCTGCGCCAGCGTTCTTGTAACAACCCTTCACCCCGACATGGTGGCCGTGTGTGTGTGGGGCCGAGCAGGGACGAGAGGTGAGAATAAGCAGATGTGATAATAAATAAATAAATCCACCTTTGATACTGAAGACTGCAATGATAAAATGTGACTTTTTTAATCAAACACAGAATATAACATCTCCAAATGAGACCGCCAGTGCTAAAAAAAAGTATGCAAACATGGTGTAAATATTCAACCTATTTGCTAAGGTATGATGCAGTAGAGATTAGATGTATACTCCCTTAACTCAGCCATATTAGATCTGGTTTTAGATCTTGAGGAAAGTCAAGGGTGTTGTGGGGTGTTGGTGTAAGATGTTTTCACATTAAGCATTAGGTCACACTACTCCTGTCTTTGTCAGGTCAAAGGATCAATGTCAGTTTTCTGATGAGGGCTGTTTTATTGTTTTGTGCTGTTTGATTAGGTCAAAACTTAAGACTTTTTGTACTTTCAAAATGTATTTAGGCAATAAAGTCTAAGGTAAGTCAAGTTCAAGTCTCAATTCATAATGGCTCTCCCTGCTATTGGATTTACATTACATCATTACTCTTAAAATCCCCTCTTCTCCAACCACTGCCATCTCTGCAGGTTCTGCAACGAAGGGGTGTCCTGTCCTCAGCCTATCTTCTGGTCCCCGTGGGGCTCCTGGACCAAGTGCAGCACCGAGTGCGGGGGAGGTGTCCACTCCAGGGTCCGCACCTGTGAGAATGGCAACAGCTGCCCAGGATGTGCACTGGTAGGAAACGCACACAAATAAACTACCACTACTACCACTACCACCAAAGTACCACTCTTAGAAAAAAAACACTGCTACTTAGGAAAACAGGCAGCACATTATTTTGTCAGAAACTGGTATAATGAATGTTGCAGCTCCTAGAATCTCCTAGCAAGGCTTTTCACATTTAGTCTTGTTTTAAAATATATATATAAAACGTGCTCCTGACATCGGCCACCTTCTCATGTAGGAGTACAAGGCCTGTAACCTGGAGGCGTGTCCAGAGGTGAAGAGAAACACACCTTGGACCCCCTGGATGCCTGTGAATGTGACTCAGGGTGGAGCTCGTCAGGAGCAGAGGATGCGCTACATGTGCCGGGCCCACCTGTCTGATCCCCACGAGCTGCAGATTGGACGCAGGAAGGTGGAGACACGCTTCTGTCCCAACGATGGTACAGCAGCCTGCGAGACAGATAGTAAGTAAACCAGCTGACAGATATAGTGATGTGGGTAAATAACTACACTCACAGAAAAGCCTACCCTAAAATAGGATAAAAATGGTGACTAAAAGACAATAACACCAAAAAGTTTTTCTTTTTAATATCTTCTACTTCTTTTTAATACCTGCTGCACCTTCCAGAGGCATTTAAAGGATCCCCAACAAAATTCAAGTGACCACACAGTTGTGAAATTAATTAAGATTTCTTGTGGCAGACGTACAGAGTCCATATTGCATGGTGTCAATATTGAACCTCAACTGAACAACACCTAAAAAAAATCTTCCTGAGGAGAAAAAGACTCCCTTCAGAGGTCAGTCTTGTGATAACATTGAAGTGAATGGTTTTTCAGTAGAACATTTTTCTCTTTTTGCAACGAGAAATATTAACAAGTTACTTTACACAGAGGCTTTGACCTCTTTGGTCCTGTGCCATGTGGGCCTGTTCATTAGCCTGTTAAGGTGGCCTCTCATATTATCAAATGGAAGCCCAAAACCCATTTATTTTCTCTGTGCTATGATTCCTCCTAGTTTTTGTGGCCTGGTAAATCTTTACAAGATTCTACCTGACAACTAGTAACCCTCATGTTTACCTTAACTGAACTTAGCTTAATTATCTCTGTTATCACCATTACTTTTAATTGTTTATGATTCTGTATGTGTGTGTGTTTGCATGGCCATGGTCTGTGTTTATTCTGTAATATGTGCAGAGACTCCTTAGGGTGATGCTGCACTATAAATAAACTGACAAACTGAAAAAGTCACTTGACGACATCGTCAGTTCAACTTTAATACTCCAATTTCCACCTTAGGGACACAGCTGCCTGAATTAATTTATATGGGAATAAATAATGTTCCTTCTGTGCAGATATTTTCTTAAATTATAATTAACTGAGTTTTAATTGGAAGTCAATAGAAAAGAAAATGTGCAGAGAGTCAAAAGGCAAAGTCTGAGCAGATTTTCTTTTGTGTATGTGTGGGGAAATGGATCCAAAGTGTTCACAGACGCATACAGTACTGCACAGTTACCACACAAAAAAACTTACTCCTGTATCAACACAGTGAGAAGGTAGCAGTGTGCAAAGATTTCTCCCAGTAAGACCGTGACATACTGAAAGGGCCCTCCTGTTAGCTCCCATACATGCTGTTAGTGACGGGGTCACAGTCCAGAACTCTCACACCGACACCGAGAGAGTTACATAAGGTCACAGTCCACTGCTCTCCACTGGTGGCTTTTTCACGCCCCCCCACTCCTGAATCGATTACCTGTCTCCCCCTGTCAGGCTCCTGGGGGGCCATGTCGACTCTGACAAACAGATGAAACACTGACAGCAGGGAACTGTGGGATCCATGAGGGACACAGAGTCTGAGAGAAGGACAGACAGAAATATGCCTGCTGGCAAAGTCATACACACTGTGTGACTTACACTCAAATAATCTGCATGCTTTATATGTCTTTTTAAATTCTTTAAACGTTCAGTCTGACAGCACTGCTTATATTTCTGACTTTACTTTACCTTGGAACTGGAACTTTTTTTTCCCCCTTTATTTTTTACTTTCTTGTCTTTTTAGCCCTCGTAGAGGAGCTCCTGAAAACACCAGTGGTAAGAGTGGCAGGCACCAGCTGGTCGTCATGGGAGACCTGGTCGAGCTGCTCACAGAGTTGTGCCAAAGGCTACCGCACCCGTCGGCGATCCTGCGCCGGGCCAGAGGGAAAGAGTGCCCCCGTCGCATGCCGTGGCTCGCCTGTGGATTACCAGGACTGTAACGTCCAGGCATGTCCTGGTGAGTGAAGAAACAAAAACCATGTCTACACAAACACTCATTGGGTACTTTCATTTTGATGTTTTAAATTCACTGCGATTAAAGATTTTCACCAAATAAAGCATCTTTAGATCCCAAGTATTATATTGATATATTGAGGTTGCCAACTGTTATGTGGGATGTTGTATTTGGTTGATCAGATTGTTCTCAAATCCAACAGCACCATTTGTACATTTTGAGTTTAAATGGATATTGGATATTAACACATAATGTGCTGTTTGGTCTCATTACATTACATTTATCTGATGCTTTTATCTAAAGCAACTTACAATTGCTATATAAGTTAGATGTCGCATGCCTCTGGAGCACCTAGGGGTTAAGTGTCTTGCTCAGGGTCACATTAGTGTCTCACAGTGGAATCGAACCCAGGTCTCTCACACCAAAGGCATGTGTCTTATCCACTGCGTTATCACCACCCCCATCTCTCCAATACAACTTGAATGCAGGAACTTACAAACTCTCAAATAGAGTGCAGATAAAGTCAGTTATTGGCCTTTTTCTAACTTCTTCAGTATATTATGGGTTCATTAAAAAAAAAGGCCATGCTCACTGAGAAACAGCGATGGAGACAGAGAGAGAGGGGAGGTCAATGGTGGTAGTAAAATATTGCTTTGTGGATCATTAGCTTCATTAGCTAATGGTTACCAGCAGCTGCAGCAGCGCAGGAAGAGTGTGTGAGCAAATTAAGTTATCGGTTTCAAACTCCTCATCAAACCATAATCAGCTGACCTACAGCTCTGCTGACCACAGAATGCTGCACTGACAGGCTACACCAGACTGAGGACCGGCATATAATCTGAACACACACACACACACACACACACACAGTGGATGGCATTAGAAAAAGGTCTGAATTACTCACCTTAATTATTCATGACTGGTACCTTTATGAATTAAGGATTTATGATGGTTGATCAAACTCTGTAGTGTTTTTAAATGTTAGCTGCTGGTATCCACATGAAATCCTTTGCAGTTATCTTAGCAACTGAGATGTGTAACCTAAGAAAGCCGAGGAGAGTCGGCCTTGGTTACCTCCCAGTGGGAGGTAGCCAATCAGGAAGCCTTTTGCCATGAGTGTCACGTGTACAGCTGGTCTCACCGCGCCTGTCTCGGGTAGACGCGCGGGTGAGAAGGACAAGGCCAGTGACAAAAGAGAGAATGTGTGCAAAATAGCAATTGATGATGAGATTAGAGAGAAGGATGGAGGCAATATAGATTGCTGAGGAGATTGAAATGAATAGTGGAAGCAGGTGTGTGTGTGTGTGTGTGTGTGTGTGTGTGTGTGTGTGAGTGAAGCTGAATGTAACTCAATGACTGCTTGCCATTTCTCTCTCTCTGAGTTCGATTATGAGTTTCATTATAAGAACTTCTGACCTGAAAAACAGTCTTTTGAGTTAAGTTTGTATTCTGAAACCCCAGTTCCTGGCATGATGTCAAATGAACATGTCTGTCCCTGCAGACAACAGTAAAAATACAGCTTTAAAAGACTGCAAGCTTTTAAAATACAAATTAATTCAATATTCAACATGGCATGTTTTTAAACTAATCACTATACCACAGAGCTATTTATAAGACTTTAGGAGTAAGACACATTTCAGGTTGACTGAGACAAGTCCCAAATCCAATCTGAAGTATTATCAAAGCCAGTCTCAAGTCCGCTGTTAAGTCTACATTAGCAAAGTCAGTTGCAAGTTTTATAGTGTGAAAATTAAAAAGTTAAAGCAGTTGAAGTTGTATTTAAATCTTTTAAAGCAAGTCCAAGTCATTCGAGACAAGTCTAAGTCTCAGGCCTGTCAACAAAAATTCAGGCCAGTGTAAACAAGTCAAGTCTCAGGCCAGAATATTCAGGTCACTTGAAGTCAAGCCTAATCCAGTCCAGGTCAATTCTCAAGTCATTCCAAGTCTCAATTCAATCCAGATAAAGTACAAGTCAATAAGAGAAGTCCATGTCTCAGGCTAAATGAGACAAGTCCAAGTTAAGTCAAGTTTTGTCAGAGCCTGTTCAGGTCTCAGGTCTTTCAAGTCTAATTAAATATTCAAGGTGTGTGGTTATTTAAGGCCTGCCTGCTGTCAAAATTATTGTGACTTAAGTCTACAGACAATAAATTTGGTTAATCTACACCAAATTAAAGTTTCTGGTGTTCTTAAACAGCCAAACAAACACACGGAGGTCGGAAATGGCATGTTTGCCACTTTTCAACTTCATGTTTCTGAACTTAAACACAGCAAGTCAGCCACACAGGAGGGCAGGCAGACAGTAAGAGAGTCATAAAAACAGCATGTCAGTCAAGTATTCGGTGGGCTGTTCAGTAATTCAGTGAGTCAGACACTCAGCCATTCAGCCAGGTACACATCCAGTAAGTTGGAGACTCAGTCAGGCAGAGCGGTGGCTGGCTGTGAGAGCTAGTCAAAGTTAAGTGGTCACAGCCTGCTTTACTCTGTGTCACACTAATCCACTCAGCTAATGGAGTTTTCTGCAGCACTGTGACGTTACCTGGCAACGCCGCCTCTCTCCCCGTCAGTCAGATGACCATCAGCCAGTCAACCAGCCGGTCAATTAGTCAGTCACGCTCTTCTAATTAGATCAGATGAAACACTAACATCCCCCATGGGAACGCTAAATCAATGCAACAGTAAAAGAAGACAAAGCAAAGACAAACTAGGATATGATCAGGAAGAGAGCAACACCCTGTAGACATTTATAAAACGGAACATGAAATACACCATGTATGTAGTGTGTGCAAGAGCTGGGCCAACTAAGACAAAAAATAATGGAAATGTTTATAATATAAGAAATATAAATTCACATTTCACATGAAGAAGTATGAGAAGACAAAGAAAATCTACGAATGAAGAGACAGAGTGTGTTTACTGTTTGTTTAATGTTTGTAGGACCTCCTTTAATCTTCACTAATGTGGTTGTTAGTCTTCCTGAGGCCAGCTCTACCAGCTGGGCTCCAACAGGTTTAGTATAGCCTATGTTAGGCTTAGCTACATATAGCAATAAAGGTCTGCCCAAGATCTGAATATTTAAAAATACATAAAAGTGCCCAGGTGGTGCAACAGGAATAAATTCTGTCAGTGTTAATAAGACGTCCCCTGTACCAGGGACAGCATGCGATTTTCGCGCAAAATGCAAATGGAAAATTCTTGTCTGAAACCAGCATTGCACCACCCTATAGATGCTACACACCTCTGTGAAGCTAGGAGGCTCAGCTAGAAGCTTAAACCAACCATTTTATCCACATCAAACACCAAGCATCTAAATGAGCTTATATCACAACATAAATTGCTCTGTGAACACTGTGCATGGCTGCAGTTATAAGCATCCAGTTACCTCTAATCACAACGTATCCTCATGTCCAACCTCAAACCAAAGCTAATCTCCCCCCTGAGATCAGCTATAGCTCACATCACTCAAATCACCAAAATTACAGACTAATTAGCTGGATAACAACAAACACACCAATATACACAATCAGAACCGCTAACTTACTTTTGCCTTTTTTGCTGTTTCCAGTCCTAAAATCAGCTGATTTGTTACTAAAAGTATCACCCAGTGCCATCTGGATTTTTGCACAATACCTGGGAGCTGTGCCTTCCTTCTCTCGCCTTTTTCTGCAGAGGAGGAGAAGTGCCGTTTTGGAACACATGGTATTTTTCATGGTCTGGTAGCCAACCCGTAGTAGCTACATAGCCATAGTATCAAATGAATGGTCTGCTCTATCCAGATCGATTGATGCCCCCCATCACTGTGGGATGTTCGGCTCTCAAGTTATACGCTTGTAAAGCATGGGAGTGCTTTTGTTCACAGGAATGTTGATGAATATTCAATTTTTATCGATATTTCAATGTTTTGGAAACTTTGTTATTTGGAACGTGGTTGTATGGACAAAGTGTTTTAAAGTTAACTCCCAATAAAAGTCAACATTTAAACAGTGAATATTGCCAAAATATGGACAATTGCCTGTTTATTTTTTAAAATTATGAAAACTGTTGTATTTTAGTTTATTTTCATAAAATTTACAGTTACAATTGCATTCCAGGTGTATTTAAATATATTCAGTTGCATTATAATCTATTTGATGATGGTTTTGATGGTTTATTGCATTAGAAATATAGCTTTTCCATCTCCATTTAGTCTGTAATGGTAAAATACATATGTTGATTTACAATGGATTCCTTAGCTTCTGACCTTTCAAAGGAGATGAGAATTTTGCATCTATTCCAAATGGTTGCGGAGTTATTCGTGATTCATTTTAAATATGTTATGAGGCGTTTGTCCTGGAAAAAGGTGGCACATTTTACATGCAGCCTTGAGGTACATCCAGCTGGTGCAACCGGCCCCTGTGGTCCAAAAATGCACACAACTACTAACTAACAGGGCTTTTAGAGAAGGTTCAAGTCTTCCAGAGTCATGTCACATAAGTACTGACCATTAAACTGACAGGCCATTTGTATTATTTGTTTTAAAAAAACTATTAATAGTTAATCGTTTTTAAACAGCTAAGCCCTTTAATTGGCCAAATATTTAAATATTCAAGGTGAGTACCTAAAAAAGAGATGCCTGCTTCTGTATTTCTTTTTTTATTATTGTTCTGCGATTTAACAGATCAAAACATAAGACTTGAATGTTTCACGTCAAATCTATAGGGAGTCAAGTCTCAAGTCTACAGTTGTTAAAACTACATTAACAGTTACATACAGTGCCATTAATGAAAGATCA